AACCATCATCCGTTTATTTGATAAGATTATTTTGTTCCATCCAAGATTAATATTATTTTTATTTTCCCATGTTCTAGTTTCCCTTATATCGGAGAAACACAGGGGATGGAGATTAGACAACACCTCATGTAGGATCGTCGTTTAAAAAAATTCGGAAGTTGAAGCTTGCTGCCTGTGCAGTTATTAAGGATCATAAAACTGCTATCTGGCCTTTTAATAAGCGCGAGATAAAGGATCGTAATAAATCAGTGGAGTCGCTTGGACTGAAGGGGTGTCTAAACTTATTTTCGACCTGAAATAGCGAATTCGAGACGGAGGCGAGTAAAGGCACTCAATATGCATAATTAACCTCCGTTTTCAAGTTAGTTCAAGAAGCCCAATGTAGATTCCTTTTGAAGTATTCGGATTTAACCTTTCAACTGCCAACTTTGCCCGACAACTCCTCTTCTTCTTCGCCCCTTTGCAAATTATGAGTTCTTGTAAATACCCGGCCGAACTTTAATGCCAATTCATCGGCCATTGCGACATGAGAGGAAAATGAGGGGGTTGTAACATAAAAATGCCTAATAGAATGTAGCATATTCTGTTTTTACTGACTTCCACACTTTACTGACTTCCGTTGGTTAATAAAAATATGTAAGACAGAGAAAATAATATTTAAAACAAATAATAGTAAAAAAATCAAATCCACCCTAGTATCCATAAAAAGTGGATTCTTCTTGTGTCATTATTACACACAGCATATTGGGTTTTATGAAAAGATTATTAAATTTAAGAAACAGGTATTAAGTCAATAAGCTTTTCATCTGACTCATTTGAGGCGCAGTCGTTGCAACGTTTAATTTCTGTTCAACATCTCGATTGTGTATATTTAATTTCTTAAGAAATGAGGTGTTTTTTTTTTTTTAGGAAGGTAGATCATTTAATAGAATTCCCTTTTCAACACAATGAAAAATTATTTAATGGAAAAAGGGGATTTGCTCTTTTTTTCTTCTTTATTTTTTGTAATTTACGAATGAGATTTCGTCAGAGCTGTTTGAATATAGATTTTCACTAATTGGGCATATTTTAATTTAAAGTTAATACTGAATTGGTAGTTTTGGTTTTAATTTTGGCCTACTAATATCAAGAGATATAATATAAAAAACTGGCTAATTTTACTTTATTTAGGGGGAATGAAGAATGTTTTTTTTTTAGCCATAGAGGATGAAAAGGAGTAAGCACGAGATTTATTTGTTTCTCAAATAATACTGTGAAAACGTACTTTTCCCTTGAACGAAATGAAACATTTAAATCCGGAAAAATGTTTTAACTTTGCAGGTACAAACTTCTTATCGCATGGTATATTAATGTGTCGAACGAAAAAACCACTACGATTAGAGGATGAAAGTTTCACAAGATTTGAAAGAATGAGGGGGTAGCCTCTTAAATACCCCCATTCATAAAAATTCAATTCGCAACATAGAATGAATTTTTTCTGGAAGTCCATTTATTTTGTTTTCACCCTTTATAATTATTCGTGGCTTAAAATCACCTAATAGGTAAGATATTTCTTGTTTATTAATTTTACCTTGGCTAGTGTGCGACTAATTTACGTACGCCTTTAAGAATTTTAACAGCATTTTTTTGGCCTTTTTTTAACGTTTCTAGAATTCAAACTTGAATCACTGATTTGAGAGTCGATTCAATGAAGTCCTAGTTTTATTTCGAAACATCCCAAAGGCTGGCTCCTATTGTGATTCACATTTCACTCCCATGGAGTTGAACAAGTTCCACAATAGATGCACCCACCGTACGCTTTAAGTCCGTGACAATATAAAATTCTGCTATGAGCTTTTTATTCCGGCGAGTCTTACCGAAACCAGATCTGTCACATTTCGACAAAATCTGACCTGTGTTACAATTTATCATCAAATTCAATCTTACAGTTCAAATCGATGATCACCAACAAATTGGTAAAGAAACCATATTAACAATTTGTAAGAAATTCTATGGGCGACAGAAGAACTCGAACCAATGACCGCTGAGGCCTACGCTGTAACTTTCGTTTTTATTTTGATTTGATTTGATTTGTGCGTGCGTGTGCGTGCGTGTGCGTGTGCGTGTGCGTGTGTGCGTGTGTGTGTGTGTGTGCGTGTGTGTGCGTGTGTGTGTGTGTGTGTGTGTGTGTGTGTGTGTGTGTGTGTGTGTGTGGTGTGTGTTTTCAAAATATGTATGCTCTACCTTTAAAAATCGCGTAAAGCAAGCAATTTCTCTTTTGCGGACTGTATCCATGAGACTCATCTCTATGTACATTCGAGATCGACTGACACCCTGAAGAGTTCGACAAGAGTATTGAATATTCATTCCCACATGCAACCATACTGTTTGTGAATCAATTCACCCAAGTAACATTGACCACAAGACGTTCATCATGAAACAATCAGAACACTGTACACAATGACTGAATTCAGTGAAAACACGGAACAGGAACAAAGCACAATTTACATTACTGAATATAGCCTGCTCGCATCCCATAAGGAATCAAGGCGTGCAACTAATTAGTTCATTAAGGGACACTAGTCATTTTTTATCATTTGAAGCATTTCGATACCTCGGAATTCCATGAGACTAATATCATTTTTACAAAAAGGGTTACATTTAAAAAACGAAAGCAGTCGCCACCCTTTAACAACTCAACATGTAAAAGATGTATCTAATCGAGACAGTTCAATTTCACATAAAAATAAGCATTTTTATGAAGATTTTAATTATGTTTAAAGCAAACAATCCTTTCCCTTTCAAACTTCTTCAATTTTTTTGTTGATTTATTAAGATGGATATGGTCAACCTAACCTGCCAAGACGGGGCATAACCAGCGAACCTGCCGGACTCAATAAGCCCTAATTCCCGATCATCTTATTTCCGAACTACTCCGAATATTTTTCTTGACTTTTCCATCTTTATAAAACCACTTATTTTATTTCTTCATTTATTATTAAGATGGATATTGGTATCAATCAATCCTGTCATAACGGAGCATAAACAGCGTACCAAAAATCGAGCTCGATTTCTTCCATTTCTTCTTTTCCATGTGAGGGCAAACAGCGAAACCTGCCGGGCTCAATACAACCCGAACTTCAGATCATCTTGTGTCCGAACTACCTGGAAGGTTTTGGTTAAACAACCATGAAACGGACATTACGGAACCTGAACTAAACCTGACGACCGTTACCACACTCTATCCAATTTCTTCTTATGTGCTACTGCAGAAAAAGTCATCGATCCAATAGCCCGAGGGCTAACAAGGGTTAATAATCAATACCTGAAGTATTATTATGTCACTCTATCTGAAATAGAAATAAGGAGAAAAATCATCGATATAATCCTAGCTGTTACAATCACAGCTATTACGTCCCTCACTCCGCAGACATCAATGTTACTATATCTTTACAATAGAGATTACATCGCTCACAGTAATGCAGAAATGGTCAGATTTCGGCCTACAAGTCGAAAATGTGCACAGTTTTTATAGAAAACTATCGCCCAGTAAAGTCGATTGTTTAAGGTTGTCGAACCGTTTGGGGGCGGTATCGCAGGAGGGATGAGTCGGATGGGCGTCAGAAGGATATACGTACGTGGATTCATCACATAAATCAACAAGAGTCGCTACAGACGTTTTATCCGCTAAAGTCGGCCAACAAAGGATTTCCCTGTGGCAATATTTGGTTTCACTCGTCAAACGCTTGGGTTGTTCAAGGAAAACCACAGAAGCTTTACTTTATGCTAATTTATGTTTTATACGTATCAACATCTAGATTTTTCCTTGTGGCGTGATTACCGTGGAATTTATTTTATAAGGTATAAACGAAGTAAAATTCTAAACGAAGTAAAGAATTGTACCTCCTGTCATTCTCCGTCCATTCTCGTCATCTTTCACTTGCTAATATTTTTTTACTGTACTTGATTTGTAAGGTTGGCATAATGTACAAAAGGTTTCGCGATTTTTTTTAAATACTTAAGTTTTCCTACTGTAAACCAGGGCCCAGAGGGCCAAATGAAAATGGCAGGGTTAAGACAATTATGTAATCGCTTCAAGTTTTAAAAGGTGATGCTTTATCTTGACAGATTTGCTGTGATTAATATTTGATTTGTACTGGAAACGGTTCGAAAAGGTTCTACAATATCGAACATTTATTTATGCCGAAATGTTGAGGACTGGAACTTAACCAACTCTGAAAAATTTCGAAACGTTTTGATTTCCCCCACGGTGTTGAAGAGAAGATCGGGACCGAAGGCAAATTAGAGGAAATCCGGTCCGGAAGACCAAATAAAATGTTAAATCTGGGAAAATTACTTAATAGCTAAAAGGGAGGCTAAAGATACATACATAATATCAAAGGCTTTTATATAATCCTCACGTCTTTAACTGGGAATTAATGTTGATAAATGTGCTACAACTCCCACCACCGCCCCCACTTTCTTCTGTATCTTTTGTATCTCTCTTTGTACATCTCTCTGCTCCTCCGCCCACACTTTCTTTCATTCTTCTGTAGTTCTCTCCCTCCCACTCGCCAACCCTTCATTTTTCTGTATCTCTTTATTTCTCTAGTTCACCCTCCTCCGCACACATTTATGCTTTTTCTCTTTATAACCTTCCTCACCATTTCATCAAGCTGACTTCCCACTCCGATCCAAGATTCTGTCCAGAGGATTAAACAAAAGTGCATGCCTAAGAAATAACCAAAGGGATTGCTGATTGTAAATATTCTTCGCGTTTTAAAACCGGGAATATTGACAAATTTCCTGACTAACAAACTAACCAACAGCATTAACACACAAAAAAAAAAGAATAGGTAACTGGTTGGATGAAGCATCACGTGATCAATTTTCGACCAAGATTAGTAAATTATCCATGAGTTTCGTACGAAAGTGGCTAATTCTTACATTTTAGTTTAATCGCATGAATCACGACTCAGGCAAAAAAAAATTCTTTCACCCCCTTTTTGCTCTTTTCACAGGTGGCTCGGGGTGAGATCCCTGTGGCGGCTCCCGATGGCGACCCCTGCTGGAACAGTATATTGTGTAAGTTTGATTTATGTGCTCACGACTGTATAAAATGATTTACATATTTTTCAGCCTTTTTTTCGCCTCTCACGAGTTAGAAAAAAATTCCAACGAGTTTGAATTGTGACCCCGTTTTTACGAAGTGTTAACTCTTCTATTATTCATGTGTCAATTCACTACAATCCAGTCCCTCTCGCAGGTCATATCTCCCGTTAAGCCGTAGCCGAACTTTAAAACTTATTTATCCATTCCAGGAATCAATCACTCAGTATTAAAGTAAGATGATACCTCCATTACATCTTAGTTGTGGTGTAGAGACAGAAAAGTTAACATAGCTTATTTAAATTAAGACCAGTAAGAAAGTATAGACTTCGAGTCCCGACTAACTATAAGGTATATCAAGATGAGATTCAGAGTGCGATAATGATGTGTAACAAACAGTACCGTGCCATGTCTTAAAAATAAAACTGCACAAAACAATCTGAAAAATCTTCTTAAGTTTCAAAGTTTCAGCAACCACCCTGATCGTAACAGAATAGCTGCAAGGCGACCCTATCAGTCGGCTGACAATGTGACACTCCATATACTGCGACATGTTGAAGCGCTTAGTATTGGAAACTTAATCCAGAATATAAAACAATTCCACGTATATTCGTTTGTTGGTTGATTGACGAAAGCGGTTAAAAGAAAATATCATAATAGGCAAACAAACCATTTCCAAGGTTACTCGACCTGGGGGGAGATTTGATAGGTGTCTCTGAGTTAGTTGAACACAGGCCAAGGTTGTTCGAGGCCGGCTTAAAGGCCTTAGTTGACAATTTATGTAATGTATATATAATATATACACTAACTAAACTAAGCACGGGAACTTATGCGAAGTGTCGATCAACTATTCAAAGTGCACATATAACTTACTTCATATCCTTTAAAGTGTATGGAAAACATTTTTTCTTGTACAAGTTTCTTCTATAAATTATTTATTAATTTATTGTAACGTATATATATATATATTCAGTACATTATTCATTATTGAAACGTGAGGTAAACATTGCAAGATAATTTTTCCTTTTAAATAAATTATACGCGAGGAAAGGGCGGACTAAATCTTTTTCCCTCTGGTTCGTACTCACGACTGGACCTCCCTCGGATTAGTTTAATTCATAAGCAGGCTATTAATGGATGTGCGAAACGGAAGTTTAAAGCCTCTCTAAGGGTTTATTTTCCGAATTCGGGGAGGAAGATAACTAACTCTCGACGAGAGGATTATGCTGCGGATGGACAAATTCCTAAGTTCCGTTTACAGTACACAAGGGAGGAAGCGAAAATGATGGACGTCCATATTTAATTCCAAAATAGGCCCAGTCAATAACTACGCTTTAAATGTGTAACAATAGATAAATCTTTGATGATTTTAAATCGCTAGTATAAAATGATAAGATCAACCAGATTAAAGGGAATCCTTTTGAAAGGATCTGACACAAATTCCCAAAAATGTTGTGCATTATTTTTAAAAAGATAGTTCCTATTCACAGTAAGCTTCTTACTGGACTAGGAACTATTTTTTTTTTTTAAAGATTGAACGTGAACACACTCACTCCACCATTTATCTTTTCTATCTTTTTGTGCATTGGTCAAGTATTCGTGAATAAAATCGAACTGTTCCGTGCCATAAATTTATCTGTTTAATTTGGAAATTTTCGACCCCATTTGCTCATCATCAGTAAGCCCCATTAACATTAGCCAAAATGATAAGACTTTTACCCCTTACCCTGCCTTGGGGGAAAGAATGTTTGCCCTTTTTTATAGAGGTACATCTTAGGGAAACGAGGCATTGAGGGCTTCCTGACAGGTAGATGAGCGCTGATAGTCCAAAATAAAACAGAACAAATTAACAACAGGGAACACTTTTTGGTTTCCTTCTAAAACCGAAAGACCAATATGGTTTATTTTCTGACGGAACAGAATTATCCTTCACAATGTCATACATCCGGGGGGGGGGAGAAAGAGAATAACCTATTAATTGGATTTTGGGGGAGGGGGTCGGCCCAATTTTTACACATTTTGCTTAGGCCTTTTTGCTCTTTGAATGGAAAAAGGGATCACCGTGATTAAACCTTTGTGTGCTTTACTGCAGAGCGATGCCAAACAATGCGGCGATGGAGAAATCAAACGGAATTTTAAACCACATGAATATACAGTTTTTTGTGTCAATATTTGACTAGTCTTGCTTGCCATGATCAAGCGTGAATGATTTCATTCCTTTAGTCGTCATTCTATTCAGTTTGCTGTATTTAACAAAAAAATAGAACTACTTTGTACGGAATGAGGTTGGAAAATATGGATCATCTGTGGAATTTGAACGCTGGATTTAATAAGAGTACTTCTGACTTTAAATTTATGTATAAATATGTATATAAGGTGTATGTATCAATTGTGTTTCTAACGGAGTTAGCAATTAGCCTGTGTATACACCGAGGTCTGACCTGACTATTGATCGTTTCCTGCAAATTGGCCCGGAGGATCTTTAAGTTAGTCCCTACTAGGTGGTTTCAATCGACTATCCTATGCAAATATACATCAATTCTTAACAAAATGGAGGAATATTTCCTTAAAGTTCATAGGTGCACAAGTTAAAATGAATTAATTAAGGTATAATATTCAATGTCTAATGTAAAACCTTAACACAATTGTGAAAAGAAATTCTTGGTTGGAGGCTGTTGCGTGAAAGCATGTTCACTTTGTTCAATACGGACGCCATAAGGTGTAACTATGTGACGATGTAAAAAGAAATCCTAATCAATAATAAACACGATTTCACCGACGGTACTCCAAACCTAAAGGCATATCGATAATAAATTCAAGTGGGATAGAAGATATGCGCTGAATCTGTAGACGTCACAGATGTTACCATCGGTATTTATTTATCTATCGATCGATCAACCACTCGTTGCGCTGAAGAGATGTGGCTCAAGAAACCGGGCTGTTGTGTTATTCATGAGGTCTGTTTTGAATAAATCCATTTTTATTGATTATTTACATCGAAAGAGGTGGAGAAAAAACAATTATTGACAATCATATCCGTGAGGTTTTGATATTTAAGAAGATTTATCGGGTAATAAACAAATCTTTTAAATTACAACAGTATAGATTGGACAGCTCTAAACTAAATACGAAGGTTACAAGTCGAATTTTACTTTCAAAAACATTACCATCGTTTCAGCCAGTACTTAAATTTGGCAATATCGTAAATGAGAAGGACAAAAATTCTTAGTTTTCGAAGTATTTTTGTGATCGGTGAATATGTATAACGAGCTGTCAGGGATGTAAGCAGGGTGAGGCAAGCCTTTCTTCATTCACTCACTCTGCCTCTCTTTTCTCCCCCAATATTTTCCATGTTATCTGTATCTGATTCTCTCTTGCCCTCATTCTACCCACATTTTTCTCTGTATCTTCCTTCTACCCACATTTTTCTCTGTATCTCTGTCTTTCTCCCTCCTCCTCGCCACTTTTTTTCCTCTTTTTAGTAACATTTAATATTAGTGTCTCTCGCTCATCCCCTCTTCCACAGTTTTTTTCTGCATCACTCTCTCTCTCCCTCAATCCCACTCCATCTTCACACACCCTCTCACTAATTCCTCCCCGTTTTTTTTTTCATTACTCTATAAGCGCTGTTAAAATATACTCACTAGTGTCGCGGGATATCATATCACTTCAAGAATTGAATTTAAAAAAAAAATGATAAGAACGTGATTATTGCTGAGGGCTGATTATTTTTCAGTCGATAAACTTTACAATATGTTCATTAGATATTTATTAGATATTTTTTAACTGGAAAACTCTTCTAAGACGTGTTGTGCTTTGTATGTTTCTGCTATCGGAGGACAAAAGCCTCCTGCTATCACGACAATCTGTGGAAGGTGTGGGGACCTACTATAATCCGAAACTTGACAAAACAAGCCACTCGTGACATAGTTTTATCACAATGTAATTGTTAATAATATTGTTCTAAAAAAGCGTAAATGTGTCATAATGAAAATACAAAAATTAAAAATAGTACTTCCAGTTAAAATTAAACAGGTTAAATTCAAGGTGTGAACTCGATTGAATAATAAAAAGGTTTGAGCTTTGGGGGGATGGGAACGGTCTGCAGAAATAGACCTGGCACGTCGATAATTTATAAGGAATCTTTAAAGATTTTCTAACTACGTTAGTTTAAATTCGAATTAAAAAAAAAAATCCTTTTAGAAGCATTAGAAGCAATATTAAATGTTATAATTAAAAGAAAAAGGTTGAATTTAGTAATGCCTGTACTTTGAGGATTTTTAAACTTAAAAGTCCAAATATTCCGTGTAAATGGCGCTGTCTTTGATTAAAGTTCTTTTTCTAAGGGGTTTCGGAATTGGATCTTAAATTTTAAATTCAATTAGATGAGACAATACGCTCTTGGAAGCCGTTGGAAAACTCCAACAAGTGAAATGTCGTGATAAAGGCAGCTCCGTATATCAAAATTAAATAAATTTTTTTACTGCATGATTTAATTTTCAAACGCAGGCCCTATTCAATAAATTCAGACGACAAACTCTGGCGATCAGATGGCAAAAAATTATTGCCTCTCGTGTAATAAAAACGAAAACACATTGCACTCCTGAATTTAAAATTTAGCGCTTAGACGAATTAAAAAACAGGGTTTAATCAACGAATTAGAATGATCCTTTCCTTCTTGCCTTAGGGTATTTTTTTAAATTTTAATGATCACCGTAGGATCAACCACAAGTAAATAAAGGCGTCGATAAGAGTTTTTAGTTTTTCTTTGAAGTTATACTTGGGTTTTTAAACAATGCCTTCCATCGGCTGAACAGGATAGGGACGACCAGTCTCCCCTTTGTGGTTAATCTTCACGCGTTGTCTTCTCGCACGTTTACAACCTTGTCATTGTCAACCGGCTTCCAAAGGCCATTATTTCCTTCCAACGCCCTTTCCGCCACCCATAAAATTACACTTTCCTGAGATTATAATTA